AAAGGCTCCTGGAGTCGAGTGAAGAGGCCGTCGCAGCGAGTGTTCTTCGCCAGTGACTGCGAACGCATCGCTGTCATGATGAGTGGCAGAGCGGGCATGGCGCCATGTGTGTACGGCTAGCGTGGACGTAATCGTTGGGAGGTTTGATGTGTGAAGTCTGACTCGTGGGCAGCCCTGACTGGGAAGCCCTGTGTGTGCGTGCGCGGTCTGATGTTTTCCTTCTTTGTCGTACACTGTGTTGCATGATCGCGTCGGCTTCTTCCGCGTGCATTCGCTCCTGTGGCTTTTCTTCATGCGACTGCTTCCCTACCGTTCACCCATCTACTACGCCAGGGGGTAATTCGCCTGGGCGTGATCCGGCTTAGCGCATCGCGACGGTGTCGTCACTTTGCCGCTGGAGGAACAAGTGTGTGAGTGTGCCCCTGAATGGCGTTGTCGATCGTTTATGGGTGGATGCAGCGTCTCCCCGCTGCGTGAGCTGGGCGAGGGTGCGCTCCTCCCTGAACCTTTCTGCGCCGCGGCGCCGCGCGCGTCAAACATTTTTTTTGTTGTTGTGTGTGTAGCTGGGATTGTGTTGGATTCGGCTCGGGCCAAATCGCATATGGCTTACGCGAATGGCCCGTCCAGCCGGATCCTATCGGACCGCCCGATATTTATATTTATATATATAAACATATTGATGTATTATAGTACAGTTTTCCGTATGATATTTTTAATTCATAAACATATTTATAATCTGACGTAGGACCACATGGTTTATACTTACACTAGAGAGTATATACATATAGTTATATTTTACCATGTGGTTGTATGATGTCACATGAAGTCACATTATCGTGTGACATGCTACATTATTATAATACAATTTGTATATTTTACTAAGCTATACCATGTTATAGTACATCGTACCATGGTTTTATTATATATGTAGTTGTATCACTGTAGTATCTTGTAGTTGGGTATATGTCATGTCGTATCACTTCGGGTTGTTTGTTACCATCGTATATTGTTTGGAACTCCTAGTATACCATATTGCATTTTTTGTTGAATTACTCTACATACATACACACATCATATCACATTATATTGTTGCAAAGTATAATAGGGTGTTTTGTCAGAACTTATGATATCATGTTACATTTGTTGTCTCTCGGAATGTCGTATGTGATATGGTATTTGTATAACATTTATTACATGCCATTGCTTTCGCCTGGATTTAATGTATCAGGGTAATTTCATATTCTCATATTAAGCCCGATTATGGCATACGGTAAATATGTTTATTTTAGTATATCGTATCATACGTTATACTTCTAGGTATTACGTGCTAGACGATTTTCATTATGATGCATACTATACGTTCGTGTTTTCTTTTTACCAGTAGCTTATATTCAGTGATAATGCAACATTTCAGATGCTACATGCCATATGATACATGCGATGTGTACATTCAGACATATACACAGGTGTATACGTACATGTATGTATATACCTGTTCATGCGTGTGTGTGTGTGTCTGTGTGTGACATCCAAAACAATTCCCGAGGGCCCAACCGCGTCCCCGCGCGTCGCACTCTTACTGGCTCCGCCTCGTCATCTTGTGCGAGGCCGCTTCTGCCAAAAAGTGTATGTGAGTGTGTCCGTAGCCATTGGCCCGAACCTTTTGGCGCAATCCGCTCTGGGGGATCAAGCCGCCGGCCCCCAAGAGGTCATTGCCTTCTTCTCATTCTTTTGCCTTCGTTTGCGTCAGGCGCTCTCACCGAGATGGTCCTCCTAGCCTCGGCTGCGGTGCTCGTCTCGATCGTGGCGTGCCCCAGTCTGCTGGCGGCTGCCTCGGCAAGTGGAGGGGTGAACGCTTCCCTGCGGCTCGGGGCAGATGTGCTCGCCTGCCTTCTGGTTGCAGGCAGCGTGCTCGCGTCTGTACGGTCCTGGCGCGGGCATCTCGGCGCCCAAACAGCCAGCACCGGTGGAGCGCGCGCGGAGCAGCTGTTGGAGGACTCCGCGGGTGGCCCGGCGGGCGCGTGCACATGCTACATTCGACTAGACGTAAGAGGGGCCCTTTCGCCGGAGTGACCTTTGGTGCGGGCACAGATGGGCCCCCAGGTGGCTGAAAACGAAGCAGGAGCAGCGGCTGGCGCGCCCAGGTTTAGTCCCCCCGTGGCCACCAAAAAGCCGCGCACCAAAGGTCACTGTTACCCAGGGTCACTCTTGCGTGTAGCCGATAAATGGCGGGCGCCATTTTGGCTGTGCTGGAGGCGTTGCGAGGCGCGGAGGTCGTGGAGGGCTTCGGCTTGTGGCGCCGCGCTGTAGGCGCCGCGGGCCCCGCCAGCGCCAGGGGTCGCAGGCGATGCCGGCCGAATCGTGGCGTCGATTTGTGCGTCCTTCCAGACCGGCTGGGCGGTGCGAGGCCGCGGAGGGCCGAGGTCCGTCCGGGCCGGCTGCACGATGCGTGGCCGTGAAGGCCCAGGACGCTCGTCGAGCGCGTTCTCTTCGGGATGAT